ACTGCGCACTTGTAGCTCGCCTAGTATGGTAGCCTGTTAGTGCCTCTTGCACCTGTCCACGACACATTCACCTACAAGGTTGTCACATTTTAGGTCCACTCTAACCTTTCATAGGAGTAGGATCTGCAACCTTAAATAGACACCCCCACACTTTTAAGAATTTATAGAAAGGTGTTTTCAACCTTTCCATAATTCATATGATGTCACATTTCTAAGGTTTCATCTTTGCTTCGTGGCAAATACACATAACGGTATCTTGTGCAACCAATGATAAAAGTAACGAAGTACTTTTTTCCACCTCTAGTTGGTACATGTTTAAGGTAATGTCATATACTTCATAATATCATATTACAAAATTAAATAATTCAACCAATATTGAATAATTCAATAATCTACTTATATAACATGCTTCAATTTCACATAATATTGAATGCATTAATATTTAACATATTATCATATAATAATGTATATAACATTATTTTATCATATCTCAACTATTAGTATAATATCTACTTGTTTATATCTTAAATAGAAACATATAATAAAATCTACGCAAGGAAGGAATCTGTCTTAAGATTGTTGGTAAAATATATGCTTAATGTGACATTTAAGATATAACAAATCTTATACTAATATGTCATGAGATAATTAACAATATGCTAAGAAATCATTAATTAAATATGCAACTCTATATTTAATTAAATATACAAGATAAATTAATAAAATAATAATAATAAATAAAGAACCTGGACCGAGGCTAGTATTGGATACTATGTCCTTAAGACAGATTCGCCCCGCTATGGTGCTAACGGACTCAGTGACGTCTATCTCCCAGGATACAACGGTCTACATCCACCAGTAGCAGCACTACAAACTCGTGGATACGGCGAACCTTCTCCGTGTAATACTCTCTCTGACTCAAAAATGCATCTATACTATATAAATACTGAATTTGGTGCAATCCGAACCAAATGGTTCGGACTAATCTTAATATGGTTCGATAAAATTAGATTAGGGTCTAAGTGGTTCGGACCACTTAACATATGGTTTGAACCCACTTGGGTTAGGTTCAAGTCTAGAGAGGGAGAAAGAAGAAAATGAAAATTGAACCACTTGCAAATGATCCAAAGGGGGGGTATTTATAGAAACAGAAATGCCTTTTCAGATTGGGTGTATCTCTTCATTATTGGACACAACCATTGCAATAGGTTACAATGCTTCACATGGTGTCTATTCACCACTAGACACATCTATTCCAATAAGTTGCAATGGTTTACATGGTGTCTGTTCACCAATAGACACATCCATTCCAATAGGTTGCAATGTGCCTTTTCGAGTGGGTGCAACCATGGGTTATGATGGTTCAAAAAAAGGTGTAACCCTTTGAAAAAACTAAAAAATGGTTTTTTAATTTAAAAGGTGTAACCCTTTAGAAAAACTAAAATATGGTTTTTTAATTTAAAAGGTGTAACCTTTTAGAAAAACTAAAAAGTAGTTTTTTTTTTTTAATTCAAAAAACCAACCACCCAAAAAACCCACTCATTTGTGAAACCCATTTAAATAAGCCCAGCCCAAAATTAGGCCTAATCCAAAATTCCGAAAAAGAATAATCTGAACTTTACAATTAAGCCCAAACCCAAGCCTAAATCCTAAACTCAGCTTATTGAAATTTCAATTTGTTTCAACATTTTTTCTATATGGGACAAACACTTCCCACATTTTGCATACCCATTTAGGCTTATCAAAATACCACACTTTGGAGATAATTTCTCATTCATCTGGAAACGGATTTCAGAAAGTAAATATACCACGTTTATCTCCTTGCGGAGATAAACGCGCTTGTCTAGAGATCCGTAAAAAATTATTAGCGGAATCTATTTCAAATCTCATCCAAAGTTTATATTTTTAATGCCCCAATTTCCAACAGATAGTTGTGCTCACCCCAATAATTTTCAAGTCCAAAAGAATTTAGATTTCTTGGAACTTACCTAACATAGTTTTGCTTGTTGCACAAAGAGTCTTAGAAGTTGTGTCTTGAAATTTTAAAATTATGAGCTAAGAGAAGTTGATGGCTATATGATAATGTTCTTGTCAATTGTTTGTCTATTTTAATTTTGAAAAGTTGAAACATTGTTGAGGATGGTTTATCTTTAATGATATATGAAAGTTATTTATTTCATCTTAGTGAGTTTTTATGCTATTTTTATTTTATATCTTTTTTCACATCATAAAATTCTGGGCATGACACATCCGATTGCCAGATACCACCTATCCTTAAGGATTTGGATGTTATAAACATCGTGGCATAGTACAATCTGAGATCAAATAGCCAGATTTTTCTAAAATGGCCATTTTACCCTATGGTAATAAAAATGGGTTTCGGGGATGAATTAGACCCGTTTGATAGGTTAATTCTATGTACATCAGGCATTCCGAGAAGAATGGTGTGGTCAGATCTCCAATCTGATGATTGGATTTTTTATTATATAGAATTATGATTTTGCCATTAGGCCTAGTTTTGATTCTAGGTGAGGAATGGTGGGTGCCTAAAGTGAATTTTGAGTCTCTCGGACTTTCTAAGTTAATTGGTGAAGTCAGATCTCCGATCAGACAATAAGATTTTAAGTTATGGCAAAATTTCAATTTTCCCATTATGCTCAGCTTTAGTGCCCTAAGGTGGAATTGGGGGTTCTCTAACCTCTCAAGTGCAATGGCGAAGTTGGATTTTAGATCAATAACTTAATTATGAGAAATTGCAAATGTTAGGAAATGGGGATTTTCAAAAAATCAAAGGCGGCTTTCATTGTAACAAGCCTTAATTCATGTGTAAAAGCTAATTTCAAGTAAAAGCTATATGATGATATACATATATTGTGTATGAAATACATACAAATGACTAAGTCTCAAAACCTTCATCTAAAGAGTATATTCACTCTTATAATGATCCTTCAAGCTAGCTAGCTAGCTTTTCATCTTCTCTATTGGTATTGCCTTCAAGATTTCACCCATATTCATCCATTGATGACTTTGGAAGATTTAGGTTTGTGGGAACCAAAGAGATGAGTCACAACAAACCCTAATGTAGAGAGAGAGAAAGTGTATTGCCTTCAATATGAAATATCCAAAAGCTTATTCTCGTTACATTGCCTTTTAGTATATATTCGCACATGCCTTGGAAATATCAATCTTTACACAAAAGTGTTATCTCCAATCTCATGGGCCTCCATATCAAATACATGCTAAGGGTGAGAATCCATATTGGGCTTACAATCCTTTTTGCTCCAATTAATTAATAATTGACCCGATCAACTAACTATGAACCCAATCCAATTAATTCATAAAGTAATTTCTACTTCATTAAAATAAATAAATTGCACTCCAATCAGAAAGTAACTAACCACTAAGTTACTGTTGCAACTTGACCACTCCACGCATAATTAACTGTCGGATAATTAAAGCCATTAACCCGATCACTTAACTAATATATTTATTTTGGTTCATTGATTATTTCTAGTTCGATCAAAATTAAATATAAGAAGGTCTTCGAATTTACTAATTTGTGATCTACCACAATAATACAAAAAAAATACAAGTAGCATCGATGCAAAAATTGAGAATATAACCCTCTAACTATTAATTAAATAATTACCCAAAGAGCCAGGATCCCAAAGGTTCTGTTGAACAAATCAAAGTAATTATATATTAATTAAAACTAGAGTCTATACTTCTCTCATACTTGAAAGTCAAATGTCATGACAATGATAAAAAGAAATTGTATACGACAGATCTCACAATATATCTTAACCTACCGCGAATTTAGTTCATATTTTAATCAATATAAGAGTCCATCCTTTAGTAATGACTATGAACCATTTATGATTGCTATTTATATATACTATTATATTTATGCATTATACAATTGGTGAATGAAATGTGTTATATTTCGATTCATTATAGAATTAATGTTATCCACTTAATTGTACGAGAGATTTATATGTATGTGATGTTAAATAACGCAAGGAACATACGTCTTTCCAATTTAAATAGAATTCGCTATGCCAAGGCATATAATTACTAACAGCAAAATCAAGGTTGTGATTTTGACGATCGGATGCCAAAAGTTGCTTTATGAGCAAGCATCTGTAGGTGAATCATTAGGTTTTGGAATATTTCGGACGTCATGGTGAACTTGGATCATCGATCCAACGATTGAAATTTCCTAGGTAGTACTTGGAGGTTGTGGTTTCCTATCGATTTAATCATAATAGGGGAGGGGCAAAAATGAGGTATCTACATCCGTAGCCAAACTTGAGGACGAGGTTTTTTTCCAAATGGGGAGATAGGATAATTTTATTTGGTTTCATCATATATATTTTTTATTTCACAACTTTATAGGAAGTTTAATAATTTTTTTATGAAAATTTTATTTTTTTTTCTTTTAGAAAATTTTAATTTTATGTAGTTTATTTATATTTTATGTTTTTTGAGCTATTAGTTTACTTATTATTTCCCCTCTTGTGTTTTAGTTTTTAAGCTGATAGGTTTCTCAGGGATTAAATTTCTAATTATTATAAATACATCTACAACCTACAAGAGTAGAATAATATAGAAATAATTCAATTATTAATAATATATAAAATTTCTCTGAAAATCTCTTTAAACTTTGTGGATTCAATGTTATTCTCTTGTTCATTCGTGAACATTCATAATTTCCCCTTCTTCAGTTAAAAAACAAGTGCAAAAGTTATACCATCACCTAAACAATATTAAAATGGTCTCACAAAAGGAAAAAAAAATTAATAAAAAAATCATACACTCGAAAATGATAATTTAATTTGGTCAAAAAAAGTCAAAAGAAAGATAATATAAAGCTTGACTAATTTGTGTGATATATCTAAATGAATTTTATATAAAATTTTAATTCTATAAACTATCCTACAATCCTCTTTCAAATGGATAAATGTGCATCTCAATATTTATACATAATTACAACAAAAAGATAAAAAAAAAACTCGAAGTTAACCTCATAATAGCATTACTTCAAACAAATTAAGAATCTTAGTTGCATTGACATCTCTAACTGAGTAAATTGTCTAAAAAAAATTCAATCAATGATAATCACAAGAGTAAACAGAAGAAACAACACCAATACACTCCAAAAAGTTCCTAATTCTTCAACATATTAGGATACATATTTATTCATAAAAAAAAAAATCACTGGAATAACATTTTGAAATTATTCAACATTCACAGCAAATACCGTACGGACAACATGCAAGCCATCAGACCAAGTGATGACACCAAAATTATAACCCTTGCGAGCATTCTTACCATAAAATGAGACTTTAAAAGAAGCCCTCATCGAACCAACACCACCCTTGGCCTTGCTGAAAACCATCTTTCTTGGAGAAACCCTAACCACTAAGCCCTCTGGTGCACCCACTGAGGACACATACGTCGCATTCGGAGATCCTACGTTCGTAACGGTCCTTTCCACGGTTTTGGGACTTTCTTGTCGAGTGAGTTTTGCTATGGAGATGGATGGGTAGTTGATATTGGAAATGAGTTCTTCAATTGAGTCTTTTGGACAGACAAAGTTTGTGTTTGACATTGCTCTTATGTTTTTATGTGAATAGCCATAGTAACAAAGGAAATAGAGGTAATCTTGTGTTGTGGTTTCAAAGACTAGACCTGGGTCAAGCGCTTTGAGTGGGTTTATTTCTCCAACCCCAATTTCATGTGGATTTGCAAGGTAATCTGAGCTATTTGTCAATGGTTTCCCCATGTTGTTGGATACACTTGCTGCAAATATGAAAAACAAGGTTAATAATGTCAGTGTTATATAAGAATTAAAATGAAATTTTCTGTGAATTAATTTTGATATTGTGTATAAACCTTTTCTTTTCCTTAAGTATATGACCAACCCTGTCTTTTCGGTTTAGGTTTTTTTTTTTATTCGATTCGATCCTATAACCTAACTCATTATATATAATATTAATTATATAATCCATTCGTCTCAAAATAAGTGTCCCATTTGAAAAGTCAATGTGCTGTTTGATTTTTTATTTTGTTATTATTATTTTTTTTGTAATATTACCAATTTAACATTCTAGCATTGACTATAAAAAATAAATTATCACATCAATGTGGACCTGCTAAGGGTAAATTAGAAAATTATTCACTATTAATACAATACAAATCATTCTCCTAAAAAGTTAGATTTTAAAAAAGAGACACTTATTTTGTGACAAAGGGATTAATTCTTTTTGACCTATCAATGCCGTATCCGTGTCCCATTTAAAAAAAATTTAACATATCGCCGTGTCCTACCACTGACACTACACTGTGTTTGCATGTGTGCTTCCTAGGCTATAATCTTTGAAAAGAAGGAAACAATATTATATTTCGTGTGACAGATTTTTGGTTTCAATTTTAGCTGGTTAAAAAGAATTTATAGTGATTTTATTTATTTAATTATATTAGTACATTCTTCATGCTACTTGTGAACTGAACCTCAAACAATATAGGGAGATGTTATTAATAACTCCACTTTTTCTCCATCTGCACTTCACATGTTTAATTTTTTAATAAATGAATTGTTAAAATTCTCTTCAAAATTATAGTTTGAGATTAATTATGTAATTATTGTAGAGTTTAAATATGTTTTTGAGGTGAAAGTCTACAATATTCTGGATACCATATCCACAAGGTTCTCAGCCGTTAGATGTGGTGGTGGTACCCATCTGATGAATGATCCAACGGTTAAGAACTCTAGGGTACGATACCCCCGGAATATTATAGACTTTCTCGTTTTTAAGGGGCTATAATCTCTATTTTTTATTTTATTTACAAAAGTAAGTAAATTGAAAATTGAAATTAGTAGGGTGTACCTGTAGTCATAAGTGCTGACTTGATTACGGAGGGAGTCCATGTATGGTGCACTGATTTTATAAAGGCAGCTGCTCCAGTGACATGAGGGCATGCCATTGAGGTTCCTGATTTGAACCCAAACCATGATTCGTTCCACCTCATTGGAACACTATCTTCTCCATCTGAAGTTGTTGCGCCTAGTATGGCAATTCCGGGAGCCGTTATATCTGGCTATAGCACAAATTAATTACGGATAATAATCTAAAGTTTAAAAGTCAGACAATTTCAACTGATTTATGTAAAGGATGGTCTTCACCATATATGTAATGTTATCATGACATTAGTCCTTACTCACGTAAAAGTAATTGAATTTAATGATGCATACGGTTTGATTCAGTATAATTCTTTGCGGAACCGGAACCGTTTCCAACGGGTCCTAGAAATTAGAACCGGAACCTTAACCGTTGGGAAATGGAACCGTTTCCACGGTTCCGGTTTCTTTTTTTTAATAACCTTTTTTTTTTTTTTTTTAGTAATACTTTGACTAAGGCAATTTCTTGGGCCACATTTACATCCAAACAAGGATCAAGGGATATATATATATATATATATTTTTTTTTTCGGTAAATATAGGCATATATATTAGTAATTATATAATTGAAAAATTATATATATATATATATATTTATATATATTTATTATATGATTCGGTTCCAAACTCTTGGACTGGAATTTAAGGGTTCCTAAAATTTGGAACCGGAAGCAGTGCTTTGGTTCTAATTCCTAAGAGTTCCATTGGTTCTTCTTTGTTCACCCCTGAATATGTCCAACTATTCAACTTCCTATCATTATTCATTAATTATATATTATTAATCACCTCTTTTTTTTTTATTTTTTGGCTGGCTCAATTCTACTTAATATTCATGTACTATCATTTTGTGACACACGATCCCTGATTTGTTCACACATATTTCCTTAACAATATAGCATGAGTAAATGATATATACGCCCAACACTCCAATCCAAGTGTTGGGCAGTTTAACGACAAGGGTGGTGATGTGCAATTTTTTTAATAATTTTTTTTTATAGTTCAAAGGGTACGTGCCAAACAATGATAGCAAGGGGATTATGTCTAATTTAGCCTAATTATTATAAGAACTTGATCATAGAATTTTCACATATATATACCTGTGTATATATATCACAGGATGTAAAGGTAACTATATATATACACACACGCACACATACACATACAAATACACATGCACACACCTTAAGAATATTTTCTGTAAGCCCTCCAGGACCTCGTGACGAGAAATAAGCAACAACAGGAGCTGGTCTAAACCTTCGAATTTCATTTGTTGCAAGTATAGTTGCAGTTGGGTTCCTGCTTAAAAAAAAAAAATATATATCATATAGTTGAGCCTTCTTTTTTGAGAAATGAGAAAATATAATGCAATCATATATAAGAAGTAAATAAGTCAATGCACAACCTTATTCAGACTTAATTAATCATATATAAGAAGTAAATAAGTCAATGCACAACCTTATTCAGACTTAATTGCTTTGTTAAGATACTTATGGTCTGTTGGGTATAGTTTTTCTATTTTCTGAGAGGTGAATATGAAAAATTGTATAAAAAAAGAAAAGAAAAGAAAAAAAAGTATGTTTTAAGTCTTTGGGCTGAGTGTTTCACGGTCTGACCCAAAAGTTAAACCTATTAGGTAGTGACACTCAACTCATACTAATCCAATGTGGACACCTCTAACATTGTCTTTCATTCAGATTCAAAAATTTAAGCTATTAGGTGGTACTAACACTTAACTCATATTGATCTAATGTGGGATACTTCTAACATTGTCTCATAATCGAACTCACAACGCCCTCGTTACAATTGAGCCACCCTGCCTATTTGGGTGGGGCATCCGGCCCGGATCAAGAATTGAGTCTGGCTCTTATAACAATTGTAATGGGCTGAATGTTTCGTAGTTTGACCCAAAAACTTAAGCATATATACCCAATTTACTTTTCATTCGGATCGAATGAGAGACATCTCTAACAATTAACCTATAAATGTAAAAGAGTGATTTTTTAGACACCATCTGTTCCCCCAAAAAGAGAATTAGCCCCAAAAAGGTAAAAAATAGTGATTTTTTCAACAATTAGCAACCTTTTGGTGGTGTAATTAAAAAAGTTCAAGAGTAAGTTGTTTAGTTCAGTTTGATCGACTTCATGTAACGGTTAGATTATCAATTCTAGGCATAACAGATGATTAATTTTGTTAAAGTACTTTTTCTTACCTGGTAGAGTTAATGTAGTCTAGAATTTGGGACCCAGCAATATTCCCAACTTCTGTAAATGGAAAAACTCCAGAATCAAACGGCTCATCTTTCTCCACGTCATCAATCAAAATCAATCCTTTGGCTTTACAATCTTCAACAACTAACTTCTTGATTCTCGTTGCAACGTTGAAGTCAGTATCGACACAAACAACTATTTTTCCAGCAACTTTTTTTGAATCTAGTGATCCTGGAAAGCAGTTCCTGCATTTTAGAACAAACAATTCACAACCCTTTTCCACTAAGATGGTTTAGGACACATCTATACTTATATATATATATATATATATATATATATATATATATATATTGTCAAGGCAAAGATCTTATTTTGCATTTGAAAGCATATAATTGGTGTCTTGAATTTGAAAAAATGATAAAAATTAATTCAAAATTTTAAATAAATTTTTTTGCACTTTCAAATTCAAGTCACCGATTTAGTGCTCCCACTTATAGCATTAGAGAAATTTTAATCTTCTACTTTTCATTGTAGAAGAATAGATAGTTTTAGTAGTTTGAGAATATATATTTACTAGCAATATGTAACATATGTGTAACACTAACTAATTATTCTTCTATTGAAAAGTGTAGCCTAATGGTATTTGTTCATATTTCAAAATAAAAAATCGAGAGTCTTCAATTAAGAAAGTGAATGTATGATGCGAGTTACAATTACATCCAAGAATAATTGTTCTCCTAGCTATCATGTATATGTGCAAAGTTGATCGAATTATAAAAAAAAAAAAAAATGCTACAATATATAATGCACAACATCTTTACAATATATTTTACCCAAAAATATATAAATAAATAAATAAATTCTTAACAATACCTAGCATCCGATACAGGGGTAAACTTAGAAGCAATGCTTTCTCCAAACGCAAGAGGATAGGTTTTTGAGCGTGTAAGGTTTGAGAAATTGATAGCAGATCCCTATATAAGAATGCAAAATAAAATTCAATACCGATTAACAAACTAAGAGTAATAAATAAATAAATATAGTCACGTGGGTTTCATATGATGTCATAAGACATGCAGTTATTATTTCATCTTACTTGTAATGTTTTTCCATTTCCGAGCACTATAGTCGACCTGAAATCACGGTCAATGCTAGAAGCTGCAACAGTAAAGATCCATGGTGCAGTGTTAACAACGGTGAAAGGATCAGGTCCATCGTTACCGGCCGAGCAAATTACCATGACTCCCCTTTGTTGAGCATGGAAGGCTCCAATGGCTATGGGGTCATCCAAGAAGTCTGGTTGAAAGAGGTTCATTCCAATGGAAATCGAAATGATATCAACTCCGTCCATAATCGAATCATCGATGGCCTTGAGTATGGTTGAACCCGAGCAACCTTGTTGCGAGCATGCCTTGTAAGCTGCAATCCTTGCAGAAGGTGAGCCACCCCTCGCTGTACCCCGAGCGAGGCCATAGTAACTAGCATTGGCAACAGGTGCACCAGCTGCAATAGATGTGGTGTGTGTCCCATGCCCAACAGTATCCCTTGGTGACCCATGAGTTGGCCGCTTATTGTTGGAAACAGATTTGAATTCTGTGTTGTAGAATCTTGCACCTATCAACTTCCTACGACATACATATACGTACAAAGATATGCAAACAAATAATAAAGACAACATATTAGTCTCTGTCCCATTTTAGATGTTCATGTTTGAAAGTCAAACTTTTTAAGAGATAATTTTTAATATTTTTTTTATTACATTGTAATGAATGAATTTTCAAATTTACCTTTTGCTTTAAATTGGTGGAGTCCACAATAATAATGTTTATACTTTTCAAGGTAACGAGGGTGTACCTTAGGTTTTTGAAATGCGACAACTAAAAATAGAAAGATAGACAACAAATATGGAATGGAGGGAATATACTATAATGGGCTTATAGATAACCATGAATGCATGGGCAATACAAGCTAGCCTTTGGATTACCAAGAAAATAAATTAAAAACTTTTTAAAAATTAGCATGTTAATCTCTGAAATAAGACTAATCCCCATAACTATTGAATGTGTGAAAATGTAACTTGGGGAAGGCAATGTTTGCAAAAGATATGGTATTTCACTATCGTTGTTTGGAATAGATATTGGGTGAGGAGGGCATGCCAATCAACATGTTAATTGGTAGGTATACCAACAACATGGCATGCTCAGTTCACTCAATATCTTGTCCGTTATTTACTAACCTTATGGTTCAGAGACTTATTTATTATTACTATTTTTATGACAATTGAGAAGGTTTTATGCAATTAATCTTTATTATTTGGCATTGCTTTATTTGAATTTGAGATTTCAAGATAGTAACTATGAGATCCTATCTTTTGAGCAACCTGATAGGTTTGTATATATAAGCTGAAAAAATTTAACGATTTCAAATGATTTTAATTAAAAATGGAGAAAATATGTTCACCTATTACAACTAGACTTCTTGAAGTCAGATCCTTCCATGCATGTTCCTTTCCATCTTGAAGGGATTTCTCCCATACCGTCGTCTCTGAAACTTGGAGACTCCGGCCATATTCCTAATGCAACATAATCAAACGGGAAAGAAATTTTAGTTAGTGATTAACTAATATTAATTGTTAAATATTGATGAATAAGGTAATATAATTTTGCTTGGTTGGTTGGCAAGGGGAAAGGAAAGTAAAACTAAATGTATAACCATTTAGGGTTACTTTTGCTGACACTCTCTTAGGTTTGACCAAATATTACATTGAAAAATCTTTCGAAAATTAATATTACTCACATTACAAATGTTTGGTCCGTTTATCACTTACACTTCAAAAGTTACTTTTCAGATGCGTCAGACTACTTTTACATATAAAAGACATTATTACCCCCTTTGACTTCTTTTTTTGATGAGTTATTACTCCCTTTGACTTTATGTGCTGACTTATTAAAAAATTGTTTAATGTATAAAAAGACTTAACTATCCATAGAACTCATGTTTTTTTTTTTTTTTTTTTTTTGAAAAGTAAAATATATTAGAAAAGCGTTCAAAAAGGGAAATGCGTCCCTAATATAGAAGAACAAAAATCCTAAGGAGTCAAAAAAATCAGCAATCGAGGAGCAAGCACTTCCTCTAACATAACAAAAAAGAGAACAGAGAATATGAGATTTTAAATTAGCTACAATTGATTCTTTCCCGTCAAAATTTCTGTTATTTATCTCTCTCCAGATACACCACCAAACACAATGTGGGACAATCCTCCAAAAAGCACACGCATGACCTTTAACTGTGCATCTTCTTCATGCATTAATTAATTGAAAGGTGTTCAGGCATCACCCACTGAACACAAAAAATGCTGAAAATAAAATTCCAACAATCATACGCGGCAGGACAATGTATAAGAATGTGATCCACGGACTCACCATCTGTTTTGCATAAGCAACACCAGTTCACAATGGTATTACCTCTCTTTCTCAAATTATCCAATGTCAAAATCTTTCCTAGGTGGTAGTCCAAACAAAAAATGCAACTCTAAGAGGAGCTTTAGAGCGTCAAATAGACTTTCAAGGGAAATCTTGGCCATCAAAGTTGGACAAACACATGAACATGGATTGTACTCCATATCTACCATGAGAGGAAGGGATCCACAAAATATCATCACAACCTCTGCTAACATCTTTCTGTCTATACAACAAGTCCAAAAGAGCGCACACTTCTAGCATTTCCCAATCTTGAAAAGAGCACCTAAAACGCACATCTCATGTAATCTCACTGCTATCAAGATGATAACAATCAACTGCGTAAGAATGCTTGTTTTCAGCAATACTGAAAAGGCAAGGAAAGGAAAGAAATAGTAGCTGATCACCACACCACAAGTCTTCCCAAAAGCGAGCGTGTCTACCATTACGACCTTTAAATCTGATGTGGGTAGAAAACACATCCTAACCCTTCCGAATGAATTTCCATATGCCAAGGCCTCCCGTGGCAGAAATAGGATAAGAGCACCAACCCCCACTCTCCTCCCCAAATCGACAAGAGACAACTCTTCCCCACTGATGATGACGCTCTTTACCGAATCTCCATAACCACTTACCCAATAAAGCTCTGTTGAAAGGGATTAGCTTCCGAATACCTAAACTGCCAAATTTTAAAAGATTGCAAACTTGCTCCCAATTAATAAGATGATACTTGAATTCCTCTCCTCTTCCACCTCAAAGAAAGTCATGCTGAATTTTTTCAATCCGTTCAGCGACAGAGCATGGAATTTGAAACAGAGATAAAAAAAAATAAGTGGGAAGGGACGAGAGGGTACTCTTAATAAGAGTGACCTTCCCCCCCTTCGAGAGATACTGTTTTTTCCATCCTGCCAATCTCTTTTCATACCTATTGATCACCGGATCCCAACTCCCCACTCTCCTGTACGAAACTCCCAAAGGCAGTCCCAAATAAGGAAGTGGAAAAACGCCCACTCCGTACCCAAGAACTGCAGCTAAGGAGGAGATATCTGGAACATGTCCCACTAGGACAATCACACTCTTTCCAACATTAATTTTAAGACCGAACACCGCTTGGAAACAAGTAAGTATGCACATCAAGTATTTGAGTTGAGAGACGTCAGCATCACAAAAAACCAAGGTATCGTCTGCGAACAACAAATGGGAAATCTCTATCTAATTAGCAGCTTCTCTACCAACTCTGAACCCCCCTGATAAAACCCAGATCCCCAGCTCTTTTCATTAATCTACTCAACCCCTCCATGATAATAAGAAATAAGAAAGACGATAGGGGGTCTCATTGTGTCAAACCGGCAAACTCGCAAAAAAACTAGCGAGAGATCCGTTCACAAGCACTGAGAACATAACGGACGAGATACAAGTTTCTATCCATTTAATCCACCTATCTTCGAACCCCATCCTCTGAAGCAAGTAAAGAAGAAACTTCCAATTAACGCGATCATAGGCTTTCTCAATATCAAGTTTGTATAAGATGCCAGGAACACCACTCTTCAACCTAGAGTCAACACATTCCCCTGCAATAAGAACGGAATCCAAGATCTGCCGTCCCTTAACAAAAGCGTTTTGTGACTCTGAAATAATTCCGTCCAATGCACTCCGCATTTTAAGAACGAGAACTTTGGCAATAAGCTTGTAAATGCAACCTACTAAACTGATTGATCTAAAGTCCTTAATATCAAAGGCGTTGCCCTTCTTAGGAATGAGGGCAATAAAAGATGCATTCAATGATTTCTCAAATGTGCCATGAGAATGAAATACCTGAAAAGTGCTCATCACCTCACTGCGTACCACCTCCCAACTCTCCTTAAAAAACTGCATAGTAAATCCATCTGGCCCTGGAGCTTTATCCCCATTACAACTTGATAATGCCTTGAGAACTTCCTCTTCAATGAAAGGAACCTCAAGCCCGTCACTATCCAGCGTAGAAATAGAATTGAATGTAACCCATCAAGTTTAGGTTTCCATTCCAAGGACTCAGTGTAAAGCTGCTGATAAAAAGAAACAATTCCCCCATGCACCTCGTCTTCTCTCCACAACTCTACACCATTCACACAGATACGCCCGATGTGATTACATCTTCTATGAGCGTTAGCAAGTCTGTGAAAGAATTTTGTATTGCGGTCACCTTCTTTAAGCCACAGTGCCCGAGATTTTTGACGCCATGAAATCTCCTCCATAACAGCAATCTCCGCAAAAGTCGCCTGATAAGACGCTCTTCTAGAGCGTAAAGACTCTACATCTTGCCCCAACTTGTCAAGACGATCAAGTTCAACAATATCAGCCAAAACTTTATTCTTCTTCCATTCAAGATTCCCAAACACCTTTTTGTTCCACTTCTTGAGTTCAGATTTGAGAACCTAAAAATTCCTAGCTAAGACATAGCAGAAAACCTATGAAAGATGCTTCCCCCCACCAAGACTGGACTTTCCCTTGAAAATCCTCAAATCTTAACCACATATTTTCAAAGCGAAAAGGCGTGCGTTTGGATCTCATCCCTCCACAATCAAGAACTAAGGGTATATAGTCAGACGTTACCCTAACCAAAGCCGCCTGAGTAACATCAGGGAACTTCTCTTCCCAATCCCCAAAAATCAGGAACCGATCCAACCTTGAAAAAATGATTGGATCTCTGCTATTAGACCAAGTAAAGGCCGCCCCTTCCAATGGCATATCAATAAGGAAGTGGCTATCGATGAAATCAGAAAACTGGGTAATCTTCAAAGACCACCTACCCCCGGTGGATCTCTCAAACGGAAACCTAACAGAATTAAAGTCCCCGCCTAAACACCAAGGCAGCAACTACAATTCCTTAACAAAGCTGAGCTCTTCCCAAAAGGCTGGTCTATCACAATCAATAACAGGTCCATAAACTCCAGAAAAGACCCATTTGAAATTATCATCCTCCATCTGAAACACACATGACAAAGAATAGTGCCCTTTCCAGATATTTGTTCTGGACAACCATCTTCGATCCCATAAAATAAGAATTCCGCCTGATGTGCCAGAAGCATTTAAAGCTTCCCATTCTACAAACCTTCCTCCCCAAATACTCCTTACCACCTTATCAGACATAGCAGTCATCTTAGTTTCTTATAAGCATATAACATGAGCGTTCCACTGCCTCAGAGCAACCTTAACCACCCTTCTTTTATCCGGATCATTTAGACCACGGATGTTCCATATAATAATTCTTAGCTTCATTAAGAACCAAAGATGATCATCTCCTTACCTTCCCCCCCATTTCCCACCTCTAGTCCTTCCCCTTTCTTTAGTCACCCCATCATTCCCCTCATAATTGATATAGGAATAAGGTTCTTCACCTCCTGTTCCCCATTCCGATGTGATCTATTTTTGCTAACTTTAGTGCTTTGATATGTCTCTGTAATGTCGTTTCTTATCACAATAGCATGAAGAATGGACTAAGTTTGATCATCATCACCCTCCGAAGAAACACCCAAAGCAGCACTAACCATATCAATATTGTCATTCACTCAGTTCATGCCCAAATCATCAGTTGTTTCTAAACAATTAGGGTGCACAATTGCCAAAGGTTCCATTATATCAATGTCAGAATGATCCATTTCCATCCAAGGGTGAAAACCATGAGGATAAACTTGTTGAGAAGGAACCTGAACATCAAACTCTTCCCCTTCACTCTCTTCACTGTTCCTAGATGCATTCAACTGTAAGTCCATCTCCGTTCTAGTCTCATCTGTGGCAGTTGTTAGTAAATCAAGAACATTATTCACTTTGATGGTAAACAATTCAGGCCTTTCAGAGAGACAAAAAGCCTAAGTTCGTTGAGCAATGACATAGCTAAATCGTCTGTTAGCTTGAAATATAGGTCCTTTCCTACACATACGGTCACTCCATTGGAGCAGTCTCCACTGCCAACCAAGTTCTTTGAAGATAGTAACCCTTCCATCCGTGGAACAATGTCACCAGAACAGTCCTTTTATTGATCTATACTCTCTTCCACACCACTACCACCCCTTCTCAACACCTCAGATGAAGAAGGAGAAGAGAAAGATCTTTGAGGAAAAGCAACAGAATTCAAACCTGGGATAGAGGTAGTAGAGCGTGCTACCCACTTCTGTTTTTCTTTACGTGTCTATCTAGAGCCTTGTCGACCGGCTGATGCAGTCGTCGAATCCCGCTTTGTTTTCTCCGTCAGCGACCAACGAGGTATGCCATGCTGTGAAGAAGAAGAGGATTGGGCCTGAACTTGAGCTTGGGCTTGTCCTTTTAAGTCTGTTCCAATAATGATTTTGGGTTATTAAAAAAAGAAATGGATAAGGAGTTGGATCTGTTTTTTTATAACCCTTCGTTGGTGTAGGCTGTCCAAGGCCCAAATCTATCCAAATTCATAATGGTTTAGGATTGAAAAGTTTGTATTTAACAGGCCCATGATGTCTTAAGGCCTCGCGCTTAGCCTGGCCTACCACCTTACGGCTTATATCTCCCTTAGCCCATTTGGACTTGTGGCCATCCCATTCTATTCACCAACCCTTAAAGATAAGGATAAGGAAGGATTTGGATGGGGCCTAAACGACCGCCACATGCAGCTTTCTGTTTGTTAACGTCAACGCGCATAACCGGCGCGTGACTGCATCTTGATCTTCCTCCCACAAACTTCACCGCTCTTTGTGCCTTTCTGTCCTTTATCCATTGCTGGATCTACAACACCCCTTCTTCCCCTTTACTAAGAAGCATGTTCTTCTTTCTCCGACAGAGCCCCCGTCGATGTAAAGTGACGGCCCTCGATGAGGAGTTGCTGACTTCATATCCCTCTAAATGTAACTCTTAGAATCCTTGCAATTTCTAAAAAAGATTTCATACCAGACGAAAAAACCACTATCGCTTTCAAATTGCCCCTAGTGACTAAAATACCCATTGACACTACACTTTCATCAATCACCACTATCACCCTTACCACCACCACCAATCACACACACACACACACACACACACACACACACATATTAGAAAAGATAAAATTACACATATAATCACATATATTAGAAAAATATATAATTACATATATAAACAAACATATATACATACTTATATATATATATATATATAGAGAGAGAGAGAGAGAGAGAGAAAGAGAGAGAGAAGCTTAAGAGAATGACAAAGAAAACCAAACACACCAACTCGTGAGGCAGTAGAAGAGGGTTTCGGCTGCAGTGACTTGTATCGATCAATGGAAGAGGAAAACACCAAATCAAAAGGCAGTAAAAAAGGGTTACAAGGCGGAATAGGAGGTAGTGGTGGTGGTCACACCCAAACCCATCACCACCACCACCACCTGCATAAGAAACCCACGCATGACCGTCTATTGCGAAACCCTTATTGTTCTTCATCTCCTTATTGATTGAGAACTTTAATAAAGCCAAAAATAGATTATGAATAAAGAAAATTGGGCAAAAAATAAAGAAGATATACGTGGTGCAAGAGAGTCAACATACCCCTTTCAGAGCTGATTAAAATAGTAAAGAATGTATAATCTAACTTTGTCTGCATATCATGTGCAGTTTCCAAGTCCGCCATGCAAGAACAACATCTTAATATAATAATATGCTTATCATTATCACAAACAAAAATCTAATCACAAAATTCTCCCTCACAAACAACCCTAACTTCATTATCTCTCTCCCGTGATGTCAATGCCCGCTTCAAAAGAGACAAATCAGATCATTGGCTTGAGGATGTTATTGGCCGTGGTGGTGGTGGTGGGTTGTGGTTCCAAAAATTGAGTCTTTTAGGTGGTATTTTGAGTGTTGCAGAGGAGAGAGAAAGTGTATAGAGAAAGTGGTGGTTGGTGGTTGGCGGTGATGGGATGGTGGTGGTGCCGTCGGTGATTGTGGTTGTGTATAGGTGTGTGTAGGTATATGTTGTTGTGTATGATAGAGAGAGAAAGAGATGAAAAAGAATTAGATGAAAAAAAAAAAAAAAAACACTAATTGGTGCCTTCAGCATAAGAGAGAGAAATAGAGGAGATGGAAGTAATGAATAAGGGGTAAAATAGTCATTTTAATTAGCTGATATTTTGGACTAAATGGTGGTAAAATTGTCTTTTTGCACAAATTTAACGATGTCAGTGACCGAAAAACAAAATTGGACCTAAGTGATAATAATTTTCAAAAGGAGTTTCAATATGATATTTGGCCAAACTTGAGAGGAGAGAGAGAAAAAGATGAAAATGAATTCGATAGATGAAAAAAAAAAAAAAACTAATTGGTGCCTTCAGCAGAAGAGAGATAAATAGAGGAGTGTGGTAGATGGAAGTAATGAATGAGGGGTAAAATAGTCATTTTAATTAGCTGATATTTTGGAATAAATGGTGGTAAATTGTCTTTTTGCATAAATTTAATGGTGTCAGTGACCGAAAACCAAAATTGGACCTAAGTGATAATTTTCAAAAGGTGTTTCAATATGATATTTGGTCAAACTTGAGAGGGTGTTAGTGAAATTAACCCAGCCATTTATAATAAATTAAATATCATATAGCTATAAAATAATAATAATAATTTGTACTCAAGTTCTACTTTGACAAATGAAACAAATGCGTATTCATTAAGCAAGAAAGCACATGTGAAGTCTATATAAAAAAATAGGGTAAAGTACAATGACACCCCCGAGGTTTGAAGTAAGGACAGTCATATACAAGTTGACCTATTTTTGGACAATGACACCTCCTTGTGAGATTTGCAATCCAAACAAAGCCTAAAAACATGTGAAAAGTCTACTTTACCCTTCATTCTTTTATTACTTTTAATTATAAAGTATCAAAATAATTAGATGACCAAAGTACCCTCTTCCATCTCTCTCTCTCTATACAAACTACATAGTTCCAATCCGCCGCCACCACCCTCTTCCCTTCTCTCAATCTCTCTCTCTCTCTCTCTATATATATATATATATACGACGTTCACTGCGCCGCCGCCGCCACCACCACCACCACCCATCTTCCCCCCCTCTCTCTCCATATATATATATATATATATATATATATATATACATACGGCGTTCACTCCGCCACCACCACCACAACCCATCTTCCCTACACCACCACCACCTATATTTCCCCCCACCACCCCTATCGATCTAAAACTACCAATGGAGTATGAAGAAGAGAACCGCGAATCAGAGGCAAAAGCCCACTGCGAGAACTCCACACACCGACAATCATCTTCTTCATCCAGATTGCCTTCCCTGCATGCGCTGCATGCACCTTCGTGGAGTTCTTTGCAACAAGGCCAGAGAATATGAAGCAATGAGGGGTAGGGATCGATCCCTACTTTCTTCCAAGAGGAGGACTACCTTTGATCTTATTTTGTGGTTCTACCCTCAGAAGCGACCACCACCACCACCGTCAAGCAGAAGCGACGTCGATTTTGAGGCCAGTTCCAAGGGTTGAAGAACAGTCCCTCGCTTCCAAGACAAAGAAATCAAAACGACGCCATTGGCGGATCCGTTCTAACCTAACGCCAGTTACTATCGTCACTATTCGTCTCTGAGGCTGACGTCATTATTGAAGAGCGCTCCGATTACTTACGCTTCATCGCCCAAATCAACGATAGCTTGAGGGCCCACACCGTCGATCACAAAAAAAGGATCTCCTCGCCGTTTCGTCCGATTCCCTAAGATTTAAGCTCAGAGCTCACTGGCTTCTATGGACGATGCAACACGGAGCTCATTGTTCTGTTGTATAAAGTGTCGCCGGTGTGAGCTTAGTTTTGCTGTCACCGGAGTTGCAGTTTGTTCATCAATATGAATTGGGTTTCACACCGAGGAGGATCGATGTTGCTTATAGTGTGCCGGACTGAACTGTCGTCAATGCTTCTGGGTCTCGTCGGTCACCATGTTGTTGGAGCTTTAGTCTGCTGGGTCTCTGAATGCTTCACTTGAATTATTTGTCACTTCGGTTTAGGCTTGAAGCTTTTTTCTCTCAATCTGTATCTCTACGTGTGTGTGTCTATATATATATATACAGAGAAAGAAAGAAAGAAAGAAAGGTTTTGTCATTCCTATATAGCAGAGATTGTGACTCTGTTAGGCTTGTTTGGGTAAGGATTTGAGAGGGCAAAAAGAAGAAGAGAATGAGGAGAGAGAAAAGGGTATTTAAGTCAATAAAAAGAGTTATATTTGTCAATTTTATATCGAAGGGCAATAAAGTCAATTCACTATTGTTAGGGTGTTTTTGTCAATTTTATCAAACGTGAGGGGATGTCATTGTCCAAAAATAGGCCAACTTGTATATGGCTGTCCTTAATCCAAAAAATAATTGTAATTAATTGGTATCAAAGACAAATTCAAATAAAAATAATAAAAGTGAGCACAAATGAACTCCAGGAAGTATAAAACATCAACCAGCTGTATTTGTCATGGAGAGTTTTGGATGTTAATTTACAAAGTCAAGAAGTCAAAGTCTACATTTTTTTTGAGTCACGAATTTTCCTGAAAGTATGAAATGGATATAAAAATATATTGTTTATTTGTCCAAATTACCCTTGACATTTTCAGATATCACTTTTGTGTACCTAACTATTACTTTTGTGCATGGTACTTAAATACACAACAGTGATATTTAAATACATAAAAGTAGTATTTGGAAATAGTATGGATAATTTGGACAAATAAACTGTATTTTGTCATGTCCATCCCACTCTTTCAGAAAAAAAAGCAATGACTGTAAAACACAATGGCTTTGTGAATTGACCTCCAAAATTTCATGTTTTTGTGATTATCCCAATGTGCAAAAAACAAAATTGTCATTTTTCTAATTTTCATTACACTGCTATAAAGCTGTCACATACCTGAGTCTATCATTCCGATTATGACATCGCCGGACAAGTGGCGATATTGGTGTATGCCTGATCTGATGGTAGATTCAGTTTCCAAAAAGTCCCAAGACCTTGTAGTATGGAGTTGAAGAACCGGATCGGGAAAGATAGATACAATCTCATGGTGCCCTGCAATTCGATCAAGTAAGTGGATTTATATATGTCATTAAAATAGATTATATATAATAATTGATCTATACAATGCATGTGAATCATCTGTTCCAATATTTATATTCAAAAAATTTCAAGTGAACTATGTATAAACTTCAAGTTCAATGGAAAAAAAAAACGAAGAAGATAATTGCCATTCAAGAAAATTAAGAAATATCAGGTTACCCTTACATTTTTTGTTTTAAAAACGTGCTGATATATCAATATTTGGTTGGATAGTGGTTGCCATGGGACTACAACAGAGTTCTAATACCTGACATAGTACAACAGAGTTCTAATACCCTCTATGTCAGGTTTTGGTTCGCATCGTGTAGATATTTTTTACTTTGCATTCTTTTCTTGTTCATAATTTTCAAAATCCATATACCAAAAAGGTAGGAGACATCCCTTTATAAGTGTTAGGGGTTTCTTTTCCCCAGGTCGGACATCACAATCACTCCTCACTTCTCTTAAAACCCAACATTCTGATCCAGCATCTCAAAATGCGTCTACAAAGGTAAGAGGCATCCCTAAAATTTGCTCTTGATAAATTTCAAGCCCTATCAGGTTTATCAATCAATCAGGGTAAAAGCTTTGCTTTCTTTTCAGGAAAATCTCCAGCAATAAGCCTGGCATTCTCTCTCTGCTAGTGTATGAAACAAAATCAAATATTAGATTAGTGACAAAGCTATCTTAGGCCAATATACTAAGGAGTATGTTTGGCAGCACCGTACTAAAGCTTTGAAATTGGAATCGGGAGTTTCAAACCCAAATCTGCTGTTTGGATACCAGCAGCTAAGACAGATTTGGGATTGAATTATAATCCCAAAGATCCCAATTACACAATTTGAATCCAAAGCTCTGAGCTGAGATTTGGAACACCAAATCAATATGGAATTGGCCCATGTGATGGAAATGTCCCTCTCGCTTCTGTCGCTCCAGCATTCAATCCACCTAACCACACACTCTCAAGCCCCTGAACGTCCACAACATGTTTGCCGGCGGCGATAAAGACGAGGTCTACGGCGGCGGGGCCGCCATCGACGGCCAAAATTTGATATACTTGCCACTGTAATACAATCGTGGTTCAAAATTTTTGTCGAATCATAATTGGAATAAACGGAAGTGGCATTATTTTCATCAGATTTGGTAGTTTTGGGGATTGTTTCAACAAGGATACCTTCACATTCGTCTTTGTCCCAATAATCGAAGGAGGCCGATGAGGGTTTGGGAGGAAGATCAGAAGGCTGAGATGAATCGGTCGTTGGCGGGTTTGGTAATGGAGTGCTGGGATCGGGTGGGCCATGGTGGGACTCGGGATCGGACTGAGTCAGAATTGGCGATGGAGTGATCGGAGAGGGAGAGGGAGATCGGTGAGTTGTAGTGAGTCGTCCTCTCGCGTTTCGTCATTAAGTGGGAGTCGCTTTTTTTTTTTGCTCTCTTCTCATTATTCTTTATTGATCCCGCGTCTCTAGGCGTGGAATCTTAATAATATAGTTATTAGGTATATACAAATAATTATATATATATATATTTTTGAGAGGTAAAAGTTTATAAGAAGTCGAAATATATACCTCAACCCTTTGCGTTCTTGGAACTAGACGAAGTAGTTGTAACTTGGACATTTAGCTCACCCCCTATTAGGTTCAGAATTGGTAATGGCAATAAAATCAGATTCTTGTTCGACTATTGGTTCCCAGTTTGCCAGTTTCTCCATTCCATCTCCCAGCTGAGACTGATTTCTCTTCTATCCGGCCTTATATCTCTTCCATGCCTTGCTATTATGGTTCGTAATCGTAATTGCAATGTAGCGGATTCGAATGAATATAAGTATAAATTAATTTAATTAGTCAATTTATGAAAATGTATAATAATATTATATTCTTAAAAAATAGTTACAAGTCAAATGTAACGTGTTGATCGATACGACGAATCATGCTTGCCATTAGTGACTTAATTTCCACATTCTGTCTTCATCACTCATATGATATGATTCTCTTGTCTTCCCACCAACGAAAGACCCAATCCCCTGATCCCCTAGCTATCATGGTTTGGAAGCTCGCCTAGCATCCTCTGTCTCCTATGTTTGGAGGGAACACAACTATGCGTATATAGCCTTTTGCACGTTGAACTCAATCATTTGCATTTTGTGTTCTAAACTAGAGCTCATCATCAGATTAATCAGAGAATACCCTTCATTAGTGAAGCTCTCTGACTCCCTTGTGTCAATATATTGTAATGGACTAGGAGCTCCCAGTAAATTATATTTAGGGATGGTAATGGGGCGGTTTGGGACAAAAAAACACGTCTATGAATTTTGTAGAGTATTTTTTTTTTTTTAATTGTAATAGGAATCTAACAAAAATAAATAATAAAACAAATTTTTAACAATGATTATAATTTTTTTTTTTTTCTCTTATGCGAATAGAAATAAAATTCAACTTCTCAATTGAAACTTAAGATTAAATTATTGTTTGAACATCAAATAAAAATAATACAAAAGAATATTTAGTGATTATAAAAGAATAAACTATAATTTGCTTAATATATACCTAATATTATTAAATATAAAATAAAATATAAGAACAAAATAATACCCTCCGCTCACAGTTCTATCTCTGAACCTGCTGGGCTTGGCAGTTGGGCTCCATGTTAGGTATTGGGCTATGTTCTACCTTCTATTTTTGTGGACAAACGACCGTGTTTTTGAGGCTCAGGCCTCATACATGTACCTTCCCTTTTGGCCATCCACATATATAATACATCACATGGCAAAATAATAATAATAATAATAATAGAAAAAACAAAACAAAAACAGGGTTGAGAAGTATTGTAAGACTATACAATTTTAATTTAATAATATCCTTTTGGTTTGCTAGAAAATATATATATATATATATATATATATATATATGTAAAAGTATTTTAAGTAATATCAGTAGTCCCTACTGTGTAATGCCACAATTTGAACATTTTCATAATTTTCCAAATCAAATTAGCTGAATAATTATATCAAAAATACTTCTCTTATGCATTAAGTCTCTGGTTCGAATATTTTCAAGTACGATCAATTTTTTAGGGGCCACGACTGCGGACATAGTCCAAGTTTTAGCCGATTTGTGTGAAGGGGTCACTCAACAAGAGATTTACAATTTAATACAAATATCAATTGAAAAATTGAAAGTATAATAGAAGGGAAAATACACAAAGAGGAGTTACCAGATAAAATGGATGCTTCATTCTCTTTAAGCATGGCAGAGAACCCTTTAAAAGCATGATTATAACAGTGAATCAAAGATATCCTCTCACTCTCTTGACTGTAACAAAAGAGTAATAAAATAAAATAAAATAAAATGAATTGAAAAAAATTATATTTAATTCCTTCTTGAATTTATAATAACCATAACAACAACAACAACAACAACAACAATTATAATAACCTTGGAATAATGGTTGATAATAACTGCAAATGAGAAAACACTGCATCTTCATGGTCAGTCCCATAATTACTATTTGATGAACTTCCCATATAAACAACATAAGGCTGCAAGACAACGCAACACACACACACACACACACACACGCAAATATATATTAATGCAAAGGTGTTAAGTGAAGGTTATGATAATCCATCATCTAAGCAAAGCTCCATAATTAATTGGTTGCTTGGAAAAGAAAAGGAAAAAAAAGCGGTAATTAACAACTACTCATGGATCAATGAACAGTAAAATAAAAATGTGGTGGTATGTGTGTGTATATATATATATGTATGTGTGTTTGTGTGTACCTGTGGTTTTTGATTTGCTGCAGTAGATGAAGAGAAGAGAAGACAAAGTAGATGGAGACCAAGGACGACTTGAAAAAACGACGCCATCACATATAATGCTCCAGCAGATGAAGTGGGTACCTATGCATTAAGAAAGATATATACACACACATATTATATATATATATATATGAAGCTATATAGAAGGATTTTTTCATGAAGCCATCTATAAATTTGTCGGCCGAGTTTGAAGGGAGCTCTTTTATTACTATTATGGTAGCTTGCTTCCTTGGGAGTAAAAGCATCTTTGCTTATTCTATACTATATTACTTTCTTCTTCTTTTTTAGAATAGTATACTATATTATTGTTCTTTCATATATATATATATATATTTCCTGTAATTAAGAAGTAAAATATATATATATATATATATATATATATTACAATCATTATTGATTTCCTCTAATCAATGTATTTGAGAACTACTAAATGTAATTTATTATCAACCATTATTCCAAGTTTAATTATTATAATTGAGTACATGATAATCAAATTCTTCATGTCTTGTTATTGTAATTTCAGTATTTGTAAACCCAAGATGAGACTTATTAGGATACCTGAATTATAGAGAGACAAGCTATAGCTATTATTATACCTATGACATAGGGAAATTAAAGAATAGATATGCATAAAATGCTTGCACTCAAGTATACATGCAAGGGCCGCAAGTTGGAAAGTAAGTCAAAGACTTGAACTGCAAGCAATTATAAGGATGTCTCTTTCACAGAAAGGAGTTGGAGTAAGAAGAAGCTTCATTTATATTATTCCTTCATGCCCATGTGCCATTTTCCGTTTTGGTTTCCTTTATTCTCTTCTTGTTTGCGGCTACTTTTTTTTTTTTTTACCTCATCATTATTTTTATTTTTTCAAGTTAATTGTAGTATGTTTTTCCACCTATGAAGCACGTACAAGGGACATAGAACGGTGATATGATAAATTTCAAAAAAATAGAACACAGACATAGACATAGACACGAACACGGTAATAAAATAATAATATATTCATAATTATATAAAAGAAATTATTTTTCTCTTAATTTCTCATCTATATTCATAAATTTAACATATTTAAATTAGACCCGCCATACGTGTCATGTTTTAAATATATAAAAGTTTGTATGCCCAACGTTTATTAAAATACAAAAAAAAAAAAAAAAAAAAATGCCTTTATTTTCAAAGGTTACAAGTCTTATTTTTATTTTATTTTATGAAAGGTTAAATATTATATGTGTGTTGGTTAACGCACAGTAAGGGCCCAAAATGTAAACAGCCCAATGGAAGCAACAACAGGCTCAATGGAACTACAACTAGAACTCACAAAAGACAAGTCTTATTCTTGTAACCAAACAAGCGCAACAGATTATCTCTTGTCTCTTCACCTCTTTTTCAATCACACGTCTCTCTTCCCTGTTCCCCTCTCTCTCATCGCTCCTTCTGTTCATCTTCTCAAGTCCTTCCTCAAATCCTCTCCAGTGATGCGCAAATGGTAGAGCCAAGATTGTTATATTTGTATTTTATTAGTTTATGGTTGATATATAGGTTGAATCAATGATTTTTTTTTAAATTTTTTGTGTATTATTATATATAGAGAATGACCATATATATACATTTCAATTTTTTTTTTTTTTTGAAATGCAAAGCAATATATTGGATGGAACAACTGTACGAGAGAAAAGAAGGCCCAACCGAAAGTTGGCCCAAACAAAACATGGCTAGTGAAGCAGCCCAACAAAAGATACCCAAACCCATCCTTAAAAATTCATTAAAAAATCATGAAGACAGAGGAGTGTTGCTCTGGTTAGGACCCAGAGCATCAGTCATCTGTAATGAGGAAGGAGGTGGTTCATTGCGGATGTAGGATTGAGGAAGATCCCACTCCTTCATAACTCGAAGAGCCGCCGACGTTGATTTTTATCGTACAATTGTAAGTTTGCCTTTGATAGTGTCCAGAAATGAATTCATTACCTTGTTTGCATGAGAGCACTTCCCCTGATATAACCTGTAGTTGCGCTCCCTCCATAAGCCATATACACAGGCTGTGAGACATAGCTTGCACACCCATAACGAACAATCCTTTGAGCTGTCTTTCCAATTATGAGATGACCAGGCCACAAGCTCATTCCATGAGGAGGGTAGAATATGGAATCCTCTTTTGAGCTGAATGAATCTCCAAATAGGTTTAGAGAATTTGCAATCAAAGAACATATGAGAGTATGATTCTTCTGAGGATCTGCAAAATGTTATATTTATGGAAACAAATGGAACTCAACCTTCCCGGTCTCAGAAACAGATGGATACCCAGCTGGTACCACTTGTGCAGGAGTATTGGAAGCTACGGGAAGTGTAGGAGCAACTGGAGGGGTGCTTGTACCCATGTAAGGTTCCCGGATTTGAATCCTGGTACTAGCACGCTCTGAAGGCCTTCCGATACCAACACCTTTTTCCCTTTGCTTCCTTAGACAACCTATGAGGCATTTTGAATCATAACTTCTTCAAATTGAAGCAACTATCGAACACTTGGTGTGCAACCCCAACTTGTACTTTACTCAAACTTTATTTAATCATCTACAATCCAAAAGTAATGGCAACAAGACAATGAAGGTCTTCAATTCCCAAGTCAACAACCACAAAAGTCTTCAATCACATTTCCATCAAGAATTTTCAAACATAAATTAATCAAATCTTCAAAACTCAATCCCAAACTCCAAATTTTCAACCCAAACACCAAATCTTCTTCTTCAAACAATTTAATGAAATAATATGAAGATCAAAACATAAATTGTAAGAAGAATATGAGAGTTACCTTAGAGATTTGATGCTAGAAAGATGATATGAAGATATATGTATATAGAGATGCATGCGAGAGAGAGAGAGAGAGAGAGAGAGAGAGAGAGAGAGAGAGCAAACACGTCTCGGCCAGGGAGGGTTACAATGACCCATTAGTGCGCATGTGTCATGACTTAAGTGCCCAGGTGCGGGGACTTGAACTTGCAACCTTGTGCACTTCAACCGTTCAAGTTTTCCTGACTAGAATCATTTGTGAAACACTTATTGAAATTTTCCCAAAATTTCATTAATGAACATCTCAAGCATAGAACACCCATTCTAAAACCCTAAAGAAAAACAAAATCTTTTTGAATTTTTGAAAATTTTCATATTTGTTTTTTATAGCAAATTTAAAGATAATGAGAGAATCAATCCCATAAATTTCAAGTCAACACACGATCCAAAATTTCCAGAAAGTTTATGAATATTCATGAATGCAAATGCATGACAGAATTTTCAATAATTTTCGACCCTCATAAGGCAATCACAGCATGAAATTCAACTTGCAATTTTTAAAGAAAAATTAAAAATTCATCTAACAAGTTGATATGTGTGTGTGGAATCTAATCTCCTTAAATTTCAATCAAATTTTATCAAATCATTGTCTAAATCATATGGATCGAAAAATATCAAGATAAGATTATTTTTGAGCAATTTTCTAAGCAAGACGACTTTCACTCTAAAGAGCAAACAACAATTCTCTATTTCGACTTGTCTCCACCTTTCTTTTTACTTAAATAACTCAACTTCAAAGTTTAATAGGAGCTTTCGACCCAAACACAATAGATAGTCTTTTCCTTAGTAAAGATTTTCAGCATTTTTTTTTTCATATTGATTTTTTTTTTTTCAAAACAATAACCTTTATAACTTTTATGAGCAATACAACCTAGTCAATCTTTCAATGATTTTCAATCAATTTTCTCAGAGATAGACTAGTGCACAATAATTATGATATGAACTCAAGAGATTCAAATCTAAAAATCACATAAACATAACAAAATGTTTTTCAATGTATAGATTACAAACAAATAATCTATTTCATCAAATCATCTTGTGTCCCAACTTGCATTAAAAAACAGATCATAAATTCACCAAAAAGAATTTTCACATATGCCATTAAGAAAAATATGATCATTAATTTCTCAAAACACAACCAAACCCTAGACTATCAAAAAATGATCCAATGGTAACAAGATATTCAACAATCACAATCCATGATCACAAAATCTTCTTAGGGTTAGTTTGGAGGTCTTGTACCCAATGACCTATTAGAAACTAGTTCCCTAGTATCAACCGGCACATACTTGACTAACTCTTCTTTCTTGATCTAGACAGTTTTCACATTCGGCTTTTGAAAGGATTTTTCAATTTTAATCTTTTTCTCATGCCAATTCTTTGCTTTATAATTTTTGGGTGAAACAAAATTTTGACTCTTCTTAGCATGCATCCTGTTCTTAACATGAAACCCATGAGAATGAATATCAAAAAAACTTTTCTTTTTCCTTCGAAAACAATAATGTTTGGCTATGTCTAGTTATACCACAAAAAGTGCAATGCAACACATTAGGCACATAAGACATATTAGAATGAAATGGATCAACCAAATTATGATCAGACATGTTTAAATTAACAAGTTCCACAAAGACTGTTTTACCCTGATTACTAGATAAGTCCTTTATAAATCCTAAACCAGTTTTATCATTCACATTCTAGCTAATATTTATCATCTTATTCAATTTGACTTGTCTATATGTAAAATAAAGGGTTTGCGGTACGATAATTGATTATTGAATATCTTGTTTTTGGGATTTGTGTCCTAGGTACAAGATAGTACATTTTATTATTTTGGTGACTAATGATTATGTAGTCGTTGGGAGATCTATTTAGTTATCCTGAAGTTGTTTAGTATGATAATTGTTGTATAGTGCGGGTAATAGTCGATGGTGCAGTTATGCGATAGTGTAGCAATGTGGTAGATAACGAGTGTTTGGTCTGACTAGATGTATAGATTTGAGTTTGAGCTTGATTGTGAGATGGACGGGGTTCCATGTCTGGGGTTTTGTGTATCCTTTAAAGGATGAGTCGTGAATGGATGTCGTCATGTTCGGTGGTCTAGTGACCGTTTTTCTTTCAGGTTTTGCAGCCTTTCGTACCAGTGTGGGGTGGATCGATGCCTGTTTTGAGTCGGGTATAGTGGACGACGTACCAGCCGATCTTGTGTTATGATGTTGTAAGAGATTAGTACCCTTAAAGGGTGGTGAACATTATGTTTTAGTGGCAATGGTGTGTGATTGCCTACTAACGTTTGGTGTTAAAGGCAATAA